ACATCTGGACAAAAAGAGGTCATGAAATAGGAATGATACTGCAGAAGGACCTAAAGGTACAGAACTTTCAAGCTGAGTCTGCACTGAGCAGCAAAGCATTGAATGTTTGTAGGAGTGTCTAACCTGTTACCCATGGACCGCATGTAGCCCAGGATGGCTACGAATGCTGCCCAACACAATATCGTAATTTCACTTAAAACATTACAAGATTTTTTTGTGATTATGTGTCACAATGTATTTAATATGTGGTCTAAGACAACTCTTCTTCTTCCAGGGTGGCCCAGAGACACCAAAAGGTTAGACACCCCTGGTAAAGTGTAATAGATGGCCAACTTTAATTCTCACATTCTTTTGGCTTAAAAGAAAGCACATCTAGTCTAGAAGCCCCATCTATCCTCATTTCCAGAGCTTTCAAAGAAGGGAAAGTTTTGCCCTCCACACAGAATAAAATGAATGTGCACTTCTCTATAATGTTGCATTGCTATGAAGTTTACACAGAAATAACTGTAAACTGATGGCCTGAAGTCAGATGTTCTCCGTATATAGGTAACAGTGTTTGTCTGCTGTGTTCAATTATGTTTTTTAAACATCAAATTATTCACCTATATTAAAAGATGAGAATTTTCCACACAAATAAAATCCAGATTTCTAGAAACATGTAATTCTGGCAATACTCCCCAATTTGCCACCCAGCCACCTCACTTACAGTCCTGTGTTGTACCTGTTGGCATTTGTTCTATTCCCTGTTTACATACATAGGTCTTTGGATCCCTGACAGTTGGTGACCAGTCTGAGCTGGTTTTGCTTAGGATAGGATTCACAAACAACACTGCTTAGTTTTACATTTAGTACTACTGCTTACTAGTTGTGTAACCTTAGACAAATCACTTAACTTCTCTATGCCTCAGCTTCTCCTTTTATAAAATGAAGACGATAATAATACAACTTACCTCAGAGAAGTTGATGGGGAGAATAAATTAGTTTAGATAAAACAGGGGTTCTCAAGGTGTCGGGGGATAGGGAGACATTTCTGGTTGTCACCACTTGGGGAAGTACCACTGACATTTAGTGGGTAGAAACCAAGGATGCTGTCAAACATCCCATAATGCACAGGCCAGCCCCCACAACAAACAAGTATCCAGCCCAAAATGTCAATAGCACTGACGATCAGAAATCTGGACATAAAAGCATTTAGAACAGCACCTGGCACAGAGGAAGCTCTCTGTGTTCGTTACTATCAATAACAACAAGTCCTGGCTGGTGTTTCCACCACAGCTGAAGAAACATCTAATAGCTCAAGAGCTCTTTGTGTTACCTTTGACAAATTTAACTATCATTCAAACAGGGAAATATACTTAAAATTCTCTGGTTCCACATCATTAATTCAAAAAGCAAGTGATTAATTTGAGAAGTATGAGAATATATTTTCCTGAAACAAAAAGCAGACAAGAATATACTTTGGCAAGCAACAACGCACAATATTTGAGGTATAATGTTCTGGAAAATACAGGACACAAAAACCTGGACACAAATTACCACAACTTATAAGACCTTAGGCCAAATCCATCCAAACTCCAAGCTTAATACACTGAGGATACCCACCAGTCCTAAGACAGTTTTCTGGAAAACATTAACAAAAGGGGAAGTAGAAACAAGAGTATTATATTAAAGAGCCTACCAAACCTGACACTACCCCAATGCCTGCCCAGGAAGATACTGAGGCTTAAACAGCTCAGTCAGTGATTCAAGGTTAGAGGTCCTGTTTGGATCTTGAGTCAGCACAAGAGGTATCTGCCAGACCCAGGTCAACTCACAAGAAAAGCAAGCAAAATAGTCCAGAAATGACTGAGTTGTGCTGTCATACTTGGGAGAGGCTTTCAGGATGTCGGAACCAATAATGGCCTGCACACGGCTCCTGCTGCTGTGAACCTGAGGTACTGACCAGGGTTCTTAGCCCAACATTGCAGGCGCCCCTGGCTAGTCTACTGGGGCCTCAGTTTTCATATTTTTAATATTAAAATGTGGAACAGCTGTTATCCATAAACACACAGAACACTGATTTTTATTTGCAATAATCTCTCTTCAACATTTACAACCCTAAGACTTGAGTTCCTCTCAAGGGACACCTTGGGAACTGTAAAGGTCAGACCCTTAACTGAAACAGGAAAGAGTTCTGTTGAATCAAAGCCAAGAAAAGCATACCACTGATTCTCTCAAACGTGAGATAATAAAAATACAAATAAAACTAAAGGGCTCTACAAAAATCTACAATCCACAAAAAAACTATGCATGTATAATATGAATTAAGTCTCTTTCAAACAGAATTAAGTCTCATCAAATAGATGTTCAAGCTAACATCTATTTGAACAGCCATGTGTATAACACAAGTTGTTATCTCTCTTTTAAGCTCAAGCCAAAATTTATTTAAGCACCCATGAATAAAACAGTGCATTACCACAGATGTCAAGATTGGTGACATGCATCACAGAGAAAGACTCCCAAAAGTGCTGTGGAAGGGAAGGCTTCCATTAGAGAGTCACAGGAAATGTCATCAAGAGTGTAGCACAGACGGATTCAGAGGGAGAGGTAAGGCTTTGACTGGCTGGATTTGTCCATCTAGAAGTCATTCCAGGCTGCAAGCAGAGTATAAGCAATGGCACTGAAGTTAGAAAGGCTATGAGTCCAGTTTGGGGTGCTGGGTTCATGGTGGAAGGGGGACACTATGATTTGAGACCAAATCACAACAGCCTGGATCATCAGAATGTGGATTCAGCTGCATGAATGATCTTAAAGGTCAGAGATACTAGGTCAAAATGTATAGCAGATGGCTAAAGAGCGAAAGCTCTCTTTTACCTAAATTTAAGTATCTTCCAACATTTAAGAAAGAAGGTGCTAATTCTATTATCATTATTCTAATATGACAAATGAATAAGATTCCACACCTGTAAGCATAAGACTGAAGCTTGGAAAACAATAACTGTTTTAAATTACCTTTCAAAGATTTGAGAAATAAAACTTAAAGTTATTTTAAAACCACTTTCTACTAACAGAAACCAAAGCTTCATCCAGAAAGTGTACACTTGTTTAGTGCTTAGAAAAAGGTTAGGGTTAGGGCAAGAGAAATAAAATAATGGATTTTTTAGCCCCCAAAGCAGCACCATTTAATCTTTTAAAAATTACCTTGTGTAAGTTTTCATAGTTGAATGCTACAGTTTTATATTTATAGAAATCCTCTGGGGTGAAACTTTCAAAAAACACTAGGCTGAGAACCAGCAGGGAGAGAATCTGATGTCAGTTACATTCTGAAAATATGTGAACATCTATGAGTCTCCACAGCCCCAGCTTTCAGCTAAGAGTACTGAATCATCATCTTCAAGTGCCATTTCATAAAATATTATTTGAAATAACAGAGATTTGTTAACTGCTGTAAATATACTCAGGGAAGCAGTGGAGCAGCACTGATTTGGCTTTGGGGGCGGGCTAATTGGAATGTTCAACTCTAGGCTCCCTCAGTACTAGCTGGCGGCTTTAAGTGTAGGTTTCCTTTTCTATAAGGAAGGGATAATATTTACTTCTGCAATATGTTAGTAGGATTAAAATGTATATAATGCAACTAGCACACCACAGGCACTAAATAAAGGCAGACATTAAGTCCCTAGTCAGTAATAAAATAGAAAATGGTTATCCACTTCAAAATGCAGTTTCCTAGAATTCTGCTTAGAGAAGAACAGGGATTGACTTCTAGTCTTTTCCAAGACTAGAAGCACATAAAGGCAAGCACATAAAAATGATACTGGAGAGGACACATGGTTGGAAGTATGAAGGGTAAAACCAGGAAGCTGAAGATAAACAGAGGCTTAGAGTCCTGCACATAATAACAATGAACAAGGAAGAAACATGGGACTCTGTGCTTGAAGGAAAGTGCCCTTTTTTCATTAAGAAAGAAGACCTCTGATGAAAAAAAAACTGTAATAAAGTATTGCAATAATTTCATAACCAAAATAAAGCAGGGAGCTGGTTAGGGTCCATGAGTGTCACTAAAGAAAACAAAGAGGGCTTTGGCAGTACCCAAATCCTATTTCCTTTGCCTGTTTACAATTCTCACATGGGGTTCAAATGATCCCACTCCTGCCCACTTCGAGTGTTATCTTTTACCACTGTCTCCCAACTCCACTCTCCCCTAGGTTCACTCCACTCCAGTCACATGGCTTTTCTTCTATCTCTGGAACATGCCAAGCGCATTTTTCCTTGAGTTTTTTTGCACATCTGCCCAAAAACTTTCAACGGATCTTCCCATAGCCAACTCATTCTAAATATTCAGGTCTCAGTCAAACTGTCACATCTTCAAAGCAGTCTTCAGTGACCACCATTCCTAAATTTCTCCCCACCTCCCAGTCCCTCTCTAGTCTCTTACCTGTAATGTTTTTTCTAGTATTCATCATTATCTAAAGTTGTCATTTTTGTTTATATGTCTTTTGTATCTCTGCCAAAATAAAAGGTCTTTGCAGGCAGAAAGTTTATCTGAATTTTTCAGCATTCAGTCCCCAACGGCTATAACAAAGTGTGGTATAGATGATGCACTCATCAGATAAATTTTCCAAAGAATGAATTCAAATGATAATAATTACCATACTTCTGCAAACATAAGCTAGGAAAAGTCCCCAGCAGCAGCCTTAGTTTCATTTCTTTAATGCAGTTTTATGCAGTAACAGTCTTTAAAGGTCAAAGTTTGAGACAGCAAGATTTAGAGAATGAATTCTTCAAAATAATAGAAAATACATATGTATGTATATATTATACAACATATTTTTAATTTATGAATAAAGCAACAGTACCATAAGTTGTTTTTTCAGATGCTGTTTCTAGAAAAAGAGAGTGTATGAGTAGATGGTATGAGGATGGCAATTTATCTTTCAGAAGCTTCTGAACAAAGAGTTCTGAGATAAACAAACTGAACTAATCCCTGTATATTTGAGAGGTTAAACCTGTCACTTTGTTACCTTGCTAAATTTATCCAAACTATTACTGAGTGAAGTGATGAATTCTGTGATTCCATCTGTGAAATAAAGACAAATGACATGGTGAACAACTGGCACAGTAAAGGAATGGCAAGTCAAGTTCTCAACATTAACCCATGTATTAACGAAAGAGAGAAAAAAATTCCCTTTCTAATCCTAAACCAAAGTAAACATGCTACTGAGATTTCAAAATATGGCCAGGTGGCCCCTGAGTGGGTAAAGCAGTTAACTAAAACCATAGCCAGCACATTCATGACTTGTACTTTAATTTATAAATTTTTTAAATTAATTTAAAAAAATAATTTATAAAATTTAATTTATAAATTTAATTTTTAAATTTTTTAATTTATAAATTTTTTACAAAAATGTTTTGAATACAGCTTTTATTGATGAATAAACCATGCCCGTTACACTTGTCTGTATCCCCAGGCATCATCTGAGTCACCATTCTTGGTCACTCTGGAAGGCCCTGGGCGCCAGCATGAAGCTGGACCCCACTGAGCACTCCTCAGGGTCTTCAGAGTGCAGGAGAGACCTCGCTCCTGCAAACATCCCCTGAATCCCAGCCCCAAGATCTGAGTGAAAAGGGGCTAAGCATTTGCAACTTCACTGTTGTGTATCTTTTACAAACAAAGCTTTGCCTAGCCCATCCTCCTCCTCTACGGAGGACGCCACAGGGCTCAGAAAACATAACCGGAAGCTCGGGCTCTGGCCTCTGTTGACCAGTCTCTAGTGAGGCCCGGAAGGTAAGTCACCTGACCCCGGGTGACTCAGTTTTCCAATCTGTCAAATAGGATGGCGAGAAACCCAGCCTACCTCATCGGGTGGTTATGGGCCGGCCGCCCCAGGCTGGCCGGGGGCAGCAACTCCTTGGTCGCGCCCGCTAGGGGCCTTGCTAGCGGAGGGGCGGGCTCGGTGGGGCGGGACCTGAGATCCAGCCCTGAAGGTGACGCTTAGCCCGTGGCCCACAGCCCGACGCCGCCCCGGACCTCCACGACTACCCGGCCCTTGACGTCATCACGCTGAAGCCACATCTTGCTCTAGGCGACCAAAGACCCTGCCGGGGCCTACCTAGAAGGCTCACTGATTGGTGAGAGTGTCTGTCAATCATCCACTGCCCAGTAAGCAAAGTGGAAAGGCAAGAGAGGGCGGGCTGACCTGTCCCTTGGAGAGGGCGGGAATTTGGAGCTTGCGCTTTGTCACCGGGGAATAGGTTGTGCTTATCTGAATGGAGTACTGCGCAATTTTATGAAGTGGCTGTTTCCCCCTCGTTGACACTTTTGCTTCATCCACCTTTCTCCAGTCTCTTGGTGGGGATTTAGTCTCCAGCTCGTGGAAAATAATCATGGGATTGGATTTCAGGGTCCCTGGGCATTTTACACTATGCAATTCAGCAATGAGAAAGTGGGACATTTCCTTTCTCTGCTCAAGGCTCACCTCCGCTTTGAATTCAAGTCCTTCAGACCTACTTAGGAGACCTTTTCTCTAAGCTCCTGTCACATAACTGACACTTAGGTCTTCATAGTAGTCACATTTCATTATATGTGCGTATGTTTTCCCACGAGATAGTGTTTTTTCATTATTGTCTTAATTTATCTATATATTTTAATTAAACCTTTTCCACAATAGATGCTACAAATATTCTTCAAATATTTAGGGAAATAGAGGGTTTACAGTGAAAATTCGGCTTCTGTTTTTAGTTTCCCAGGCACTAAGTTCACCTACTCGAGTAAACTAGAGTTGCTATCATCTTGGATATTCTTCCAAAGACGTTCTAAGTGCTGTTATTAATTTTAAATTACACATAACCATTAAAAATTAGGCTATTAGTCTGCTCAGTGTGCACATTTTGAATCTTAGTAGATTTACTCCACTTGCTCCTTTAAGTAGTTATTACAATTTACATTCCTACTGCTAATATATGGGAAGACCTTTCTCTCAACCCTCGCAAAAATTGATAAAATACAATATTGAAAATTTCCTGAGTCAATGGGTGTGAAAAAAAATTTAAGGGATAACATGTATGAAAGAACTGCAACAATCCTAATTGTATATCTTAGTAGTAAAGTGAATGAACTTGTGTAAGCACTTCCTGCATCAAGATTTTAAATGTTTTCCAACTATTTAGAAGCTCTCATGCTCCTTAGTTATTGCATGCCTACACAGAAATAGCCACTGTTCTGAATTTTACCACCAAATTAGTTTTGTCTGCTTTTAAAAACCTATCAATGGCCACACTTAGTGTGTACTCTTGTGTGGCCCTTTCACTCAATAATATATTCATGAGATTGAGCCATATTAAAAAAATTTAGTAGTGGTTTATTCACTTCCATGTTTTTATATAATCTCAGAATTTCGTTGTCTGTTCTAATATTGCTTGACATTAGGTTATTTAAAGTTTTGGATGTCTATAAATGATGCTGCTATGAATATTTTTGTACCAGTCTGTTGATGCACATTATTACAGGTTTGATTTTGGTATATACCTAGTAGTAGTGTTACTGTGCCACAAGATATGTGTATATTCAGTATTAGAAAACAGTGCCACATTGTTTTTTAGTTTACCAATTTATAAATCACTAGCAGTGAATGGAAATTCCAGTTGTTCCACATCTTTGCCAATACTGATATTCTGTTTTTTTGTGTTTGTCTTCTTTTTTGTTTGTTTTTTTTTGTTTTCAACTTTATTTATCAAACTGAAATACAAACCACTGCTTATATTTAGTGTATACATTTTAATGAGTTTGGACAGTTACATACACCTGTGACACTGTTACCACAAATAAGATAATGAACATATCCATCATGACCAAAAGATTTCTTGTGTTACCTGGCTTTTTCATTTTAAAAAATTGGTGGTAAGAGCACATAGCACAAGATCTACCTTATTAACAAGCTTTTAAGTGCACAACATCCTATTAACTATGGTATACATGTTGCACAGCAGATCTCTGGAATTACATTGTATATAACTGTAACTTTATCACCATTGAAAAAATCCTCATTTCCCCTCTGGCAACTACCACTCCCCATTCCTCATTCCCCATCCTCTGGCAACTACCACTGTATTCTTTGTATATATGAGTTTGATTATTTTAGATACTTCATATAAGTGGAATCATGCAGTATTTGTTCTATGACTAACTTATTTCTGAGCATAATGTTTTCCATGGCAATACAGAGACTCTAGCTTCTTCCTCCAAATCCCTTGGAAGCCTAAAGCTGGATTGGCTTCTCACGTCTGCCCTTCAGATGATCAGTGCTATGAATGGGCCACAAGTAGGTAAGAGGCACCACTGGGACTGCTAGGCATCCTCTCCCCACCCCATGGTGCAGCCTCATCCAGCCTTCAAATGAATTCCCCTAGGTCCAGCACCTGAACCCGTAAACTTCTCTGGCCCATCCAGGTTCAGGATCTGAGTTTCCACTGATTCCCAGGTGGTCATGGAGAAGTTTTAACCCTGAATTTTGTATTCAGAAATCTCTAGAAATTATCCAGACAAGACAGATGCTATAAAGAAAAAGTAATGGTCAAAACAAGTGAGGCAATGTCAGAGTAAGAAAATGTCTCTGGTTGTGCACCTGATCTCTCACGTGCCTTTTAAGCAATTAGAACTAGATACTGCAGTCATTTGTCACCCAATTAATTTTGAAAGACCAGAAATGCATGGTTTAGCATTTGCTTCAGTAAAAGCAATTGTTATTTAGATAAAAAGACATTTAAAATGAGAAATGAATTTTGATTAAAATGTGCAGGTACTGATAATATTCACTTGTACTGTTTAAATGCTTAAAAAATGCACAATGTTTTCCTGGTACATGATGTCACAAACAGAAAAATTTCTTTCTTCTTTAAGGCTGAATTGCATTCTATTGTATAAGTATATATTATTTTTATCCATTTGTCTGTTAACAAAAACTTGGATTGGTTCTAAATCTTGACAATTGTGAATCATGCAATAAACATGGCAGTATAGATATCTCTTTGATATTGATGCAATTCTTTTGAATATACTGATGAGTGGAATTATCAATAACACATAAGGATGCCCTGGCTAGTATGGCTCAGTGGATTGAGTGTCAGCCAGCAAAGGAAAGGGTTGCTGGTTTGATTCCCAGTCAGTGCACATGCCTGGGTTGTGGGCCAGGTCCCCAGTAGGGGGTACATGAGAGGCAACCAAGTATTGAAGTTTCTCTCCATCTCTTTCTTCCTCCCTTTCTCTAAAAATAAATTAATAAAATATTTTTAAAAAGAAATAGAAAAATAATAACACATAAGAAAATGAGTCATGAAAATCCCCCCAGCAAAGAAAAGCCCAGGGCCCAACGGCTTTTCTAGTGAATTCTACCAAACATTTAAAGAAGAATTAGTCTATGGCCATACCACCCTGAAAGCGCCCGATCTCATTGAAAGAATTAACACCAGTACATCTCAAACATCAAAAAAATTGAAGAAAAGGCAACATTTCCAAATTCATTTTAAAGGCCTGTATTACTCTGATACCAGAACCAGAATAAGGATCTACAAGAAAAGAAAATTGCAGGTCTATATCTTTGATGAATGTAGATGCAAAACTCTGTGATGAAAATTATAGCAAGCAGAATTCAACATCACATTAAAGGGATCATAAACCATGATCAAATGGAATTTATCCCTGGGATACCAGGATGGTTCAACATATGCAAATCAATAAAAGTAATACACCACCTTAACAGAATGAAGGATAAAAATTATATCCTTTTGATAGATGCAGAAAAAGCCCTTGTAAATATTTAACTTCCCTTCATGACAAAAGTTCTGAACAAATTCAGTATAAAGAGAATGTACCTGAACATAACAAAGACTATATATGACAAGCTGACTGTTAACATCATACTCAATTGTGAAAAATGCAGTTTGCCTTTAAGGTCTGTAACAAAGCAAGAGTGCCAACTCTCACCACTTCTACTCACCATAGTATTGGAAGTCCTAGCCTGAGCAATTAGGCAAGAAAAAAAAGCATCCAAATTGGAAAGGAAGAAGTAAAATTGTCTCTTTTTGCAGAAGACATGGTCTTTCATATAGAAAAATCCTAAAAATCACATACACACACACACACACCTATTAGCATAAATAAACAAATTCAGAAAAGTTACAGGATACAAAGTCAACATATAAAAAATTATTGTATTTCCATCACTAAAAATGAGCTACTTCTTAAAAATTAGGAAAACAGTCCCATTTACAGTGGCACCAAAAACAATAAAACATTTAGGAATAAATTTAACAAAAGAGGTGAAAAATTTGTATACTGAAAACTAGAATACACTGATGAAAAATATTAAAGAAAAGACAAATAAATAAAAATTCTGTCAATTATTGGAAGACTTAATTTTATTAAACTGTCCATACTACCCAAAGCAATCTATGTGTTTAATGTTAACCCCATCAAAATTCCAATGGCATTTTTTTTACAGAAATAGAAAAACAATCCTAAAATTCATATAGAACAGCAAAAGATACAGAATATCCCAAGCAACCTTGAGAAATAAGACATAAATAGAAGTACCACACTTCCTTATTTCAAAATAAGTAATTATAAATTATTATATATTATTATATTATATAATAAATATTATTATATTATATTTATTATAAATTATAAATTATAATTATAAATCTACCATCGTAAAAGCAGTATGATATTGCCATCAAGACAGAAAGACAGGCTAATAGAACAGAATAGAGAGCTCAGAAATAAACCCACACATACAAAAGCAACTGGTCTTCAACAACAGTGCCAAAAATACATAATGAGGAAGGATAGTCTCTTCAACAAATGGTGCTGGGAAAACTGGATATCTCCATGTAAAAGGATAAAAATAGACCCCTATCTTACAACACACACAAAATGCAACTCAGAATGGATTAAAGATTTAAATCTAAGACCTAAAATTACAAAACTTCTAGAAGAAAATAAGAAAAGCTTCATGACATTCATCTTGGCA